TTTTTTTTCAGTGGCCCTAATCCTCTTCCGTACCCTAACACACCGTCGCAGAGATATTTATCTCTAGAAGTGAAGAAGAAAACTACCGAAGTGACCGCTCTCTCACAAACGATCTGTGTATAGTGGATAGCCAATCCCGTTGCAGGATTTGAAGCTTGTCACAGAGAGAACCAATCACAATCGAGGTTTGGTTGTTATACAGGAAGTGATGGAGACTATGCCGTCCTAGCATAGCGCTAAACATGTTTACAGCCTAAACTGCAGTCTCTTGCTTTAGATATATTTATATTTAAATGAATATGATTTGGAAAATAAATATTATGGATCCTTCTGCCGGGTTGGTGATAGTACTGTGTCAGATCATGTAACCGGACAGTTTTTTCGTAGTCACATGCAGGACGGTAAGCGTCAACTTTCCGAGGAAAGTTAGAGCTGCCAGAGGTTCAGATTCAGGTAAGACTTCATTTTGGTTTATTGGCTTAATTATTACATTGGTTTATTTTTAATATCAGCGATGTTTTGTTAGTTTGCACTACAGATGTAGCTAAAGACTTCCAAAAATTAGAACTTTTTGGCCTACATGCTATGTAATGCCTACAGGAACAAACATAAATAAAAATAAACACACCCTCCTAACGATGAAACACGATAGTTGTGGTGTCATGCTGTGGGGTCGCTTTTAAGTGTGACATGAAAGCCTCTAGGAGCTGGAATAAAATGATTCACCTTGAACTAGAATACATGCAAATGTTTGGTTTTGATTTCATTCAGTGTGAAACTTAACCGTTTTTCCTAATTTCCTCAACTATTCTAAGTTTAAGATAACCCCTTCTTTCTTTAGCTTTTCCACCATGAAGACAAATAAGACGTATAAACTGGTGCTTCACAAGAAAGGTTTTGGAGGAAGTGGTAAGAAGACACTTTTAAAGGGACAGAACACATTTATTTATGGATGCAAACCTTTGGCTGGGATGTTGTTGAAAATGAGCCTTTTTCTCTGAGCAGACGATGAGCTTGTCGTCAATCCAAAAATCTTCCCACAAGTCAACCTGGGCGACATCATTGAGATCGCTCACCCAACAGATGAGTACAGGTGAGGTCATCGACAGAAAAAAATCATTATCTTTACTCTTCTTTATTGCTTTTGTTGTTTATATTTAATATGTCGGGGGTTTTACTTTCTCTTTTGGTATTTAGTCCTCTGCTGCTGCAGGTGAAGAGCCTAAAAGAGGATCTTCAGAAAGGTAAATACATTTTAAACAGGGATTTCAGTTGAAACCTGATAAGATTCACTGGTTGCAGCAGTAATGACCAATATTTGAACATTTGAGTAACTGATTGGTTACTCCTTTTTTTTTTTTAACTCTATCTTTTGCACTGTTAGACAGAGGGAGTTTGGAATAGCTTCCGTCCAAAGTAATCTGTTACATCCTGCATTATTGGACTGAATTGAAACTGTAAATTTTTCTGTCATGCTTTATCCCTGCTTGGGGATAAAGCATGGTTTATCACCAAACAGAGACAAACAGGGCAAACAACCATTCACACTCACACCTAAGGAGAATTTAGAGAAGCAAATTAACCAAACAGTCATGTTTTGGAACTGTGGGAGGAAGCCAGAGTACCTGGAGAGAACCCACTCATGCTCACGGAGAACATGCAAACTCGATGCAGAAAGACCCCGGGCTGGGAATCAAACCCAGAACCTTCTTGCTCCTTTGCCTGGGCAGCCCTGGATTGAAACTAGATATTAGTAATTGACCAGTACAGGTTTTTAAGGCCAATGCAGATACAGATAATTACGGTGGCCGGGAA